TCACGTAAAGACTGGATAATCATCACGTAAAGACTGGATAATCGTCACGTAAAAACTGGATAACCATGACGTTAAAACTGGATAATCACCTAATAAAAAGGATCACAAAAAGGGTATTTAAGTGTATAATCCTCGAGTACATATTCAGCGCAATCTTTGAAGAGGTTACAGAATAGGCACCCCAAAGCATGCGTCGTAGCAGATTTGGAGTATAACCCAAACTGCATCAACCTGTTCAATCACATCAAGAACGAGATATCATATATTACATGTAAATACTCCCATTTAAATTTTTGTAAATGATGTTAATAAAATGCTAGAAATAGATTAAAATACGAACGCAGTTTAATTTCTTACTCCTACATAATATTTTAAAGCTTTGATAGAGATAAGGAAGTTAAATATTCGTTTATTTTGCTGTCTAAAATGGACTTTGACAAGCATTTAAATCCAACAACTACATCTGGAGGCGCATCACAGAAAAGGACATTCTGCAGTCCATGTGAAAGAACGTGAACAGTTTTCAGCGTTTAAAGCCTTAGATATTTTATTTAAAAAATTAAAATATAAAAATATATGATACTTGAACTATTACTGTAAGATCCTTCTCTTTTTAAGCTGGAGGGAAAAATAAAACTCTGGTATGTAAAGTATGGCATTTATTTTCCAATACAAGGTAATTATAAAAACACATAGACACATTAAATATATATAAATTATGAGCACTCTACATTCATAGATATAATAATACACATGAAGCTCTTCAAGATACATAGTCAGCAGAATGTTCTCGAACCAAACTAAGGGATCTTCGTTCATTGTTCCATAATACTGTAGTGTCCCCATGGCAGCGTCTCATATGACCCCTCAATCAAATATAGCTTATCGTCGTGTGGACTCAAGGCTACTTTTTCTTGAGTCATCGTGAAGACTGCATGTTTTTCAGATCTAATTAAATTTTGACTGATGTATTTGTCTTTGAAATTATCGACACACTCGAGGTAGTACATTTTGGACCTAAGACCTACGAAAAGTTCCATAGGGATGCCGTGAAACTCGTCCTTCATCATACCCAGGACTTTTTTTGTTGACTTGAGGGATGTTATACCTATTGTCTGTAGGGTAATCACTTGTATCGAACCGGGTGTGACAGTCGCGACGCATGACTTTATGAAGTCTATGGACATCTTTATCACCGATTTCATATATCAGCGAGTCGGTGTCAGTATAAAGGACTGAGCAGTCATCACCAAACTCGGGCACCATATAATCATAATGGAAATCATATATGGTGATTTTGGCTAGGTCCAAAATCGACATCCCAATGTATATAGGTTTGTTGAAGAAGACCTCTGACTTGTTGAGTTCTATAGCCACCAAATTTTCATTGAAAATTGTGGCAGCCTTGAACTCTGGCTTCGCGATTAAGGCCTCCGCACCATAGCGCCCACCCCATTTATTAACCAATTTAACGATTGAGTGTTTTCTTATATTTTCCATCGTTTTTCCGAACACAGCATTATTCATAAGCTTAAATAGATTTTTTTCAAAGTCGTTTTTAGCTGTCTGACGTAATGCTGTATTCAGATCAATGTAAGACTTAAGCCATGGAGACTGATTAAATTTTAGTACGCGGTGAATTTTTGTAAGCTTAAGCCCATGCTTTAATGCTTGTTTTAAAGCTCTATAATGGATAACGTACCGCGTCTTGTTATGAAGAGTTGCCAAAAGTTTAAAATTTTTGCATCCGGGAGGAGCGCTATGTTCGGGGCATAGTGGCAAATCTTTATGTGTGTCATGTAAATGAGCCGGATATTCAAGGTCTACTTCAAGCAAATAGCCTACAGACGATGTGTCTGATACGTTGGTGACGTCGATGTTGGAATCTACCCACTCGAACCCTCCATATGGCAAGTACTGACTCATGGCCCAACCGTATTGATTGTTGATGTCGAAATATGCTAAATATTTTATCGGTTTACTGGGGTCGAAATTTGGAAGATACTTATTATTAGCCGCGCTTTTACGTTTAGAGCATTGACTCAATCCGCCGCGAATACCTCGTTCGACAAACATTAACATATCGATATCGGTCAACAATTCCAAAGTCTGGCTTGTCTTAAACAGCATACAGTCCCAGGTATAGCCAGGTAAAGTGTAGTAATTAGCGGGATCGAGGCCGTATGTCTTGTGACAACTGCTTCGAAACTGCTCAAACACGTCAGCCAAAAGTAAAATGTCTGTTTTCATGTACAAGTCCGTGTACTCACCTAAATTTTGAATTTTGAATGTATTCCAAACTTTCTGCGCGTGCGCGAACTGTTTACTTGAAATGTTCTTCTCCTCTAAACGGCTATAAAAGTGCGGCTGTTCCGGCAAAGACTGGAAATTAAATTTTTCAAAGCTGTCCATGAAGTCATATGGATACACGCCTTTTTTAGTTAATAAATTAAACTCATCGTCGGCTAGTTCGGAAAACTCTGATTTTAAATTTGGAAATTCGGTCATGTATGATGCAAGAGTATCCAACGATGAAGCCATAAAACGGAATGAATCGATAAATCGGAATTTAATTAAATTTTGATCTAAATTTTTAGTGAATGAAATGTATTTTTCCTTAGTTATCGGAAGCACGTCGACTCTACCCGGCATATCATTTGCAATATTCTCCAAAATGAAGTGTGAGTCATATCCGCCCAGGTTGTGAAAGACAACAGGTATAACAACCCCATCTTTGTAATTTATATTACACGCGTTGTGCGCGGCGCCCCTATAGTTATTTTCCGGAGTCAAATGAAAATGGTCACGGACTTTAACGTCCGCTACCTTAAACGGCTGTTCATATATATGGCAGTGTGTAGCTTTATGAAATTCAGCTTCTTGCGCTGACGTCATCACTATGTCGTAAGGGCATAAGAAAACCGTTTCTATGTCCTCAGCAAACGCAGACATTTCGCGCGCGAACCAAGGCATGCAGTCCTCACCACGATAAAATCTATAAAATGATAACGATGGATCATATGAACACTTTACGTAGTAGCCTACTGCTGCAGGTACATGATGTTGATACTTGCTACTGTCATTCACTTTCATCAGAACACTCTCCAATTCTGCATATATAATGAAGGGGACCTTTTCTTTATTTTTATAATTTTTAAATTTTAAATCCTTTTGATCTTCATTAGGTAACCTGAATTTGCATTCGTTGATTTCTTTGCAATCGATGTAATGGTAGCTTAGTCTTTCCGTGGACGAAAAGTAGTGTAGGCATCTGTCACAGATGAATTTTTTAGCGCGATTTTTGCTAAGTTGAGACGATAGGAGGCGTGACAGGTCCTTTATCCACATGTAGTGGTATTTCGTCCATGTTCATTTTCATCCTCAACGTCATCTTGGTATTGGTTTTGAATCATAAGCAGGTTGACGTGCTTATCTAGCTTATTTTTTGTCTAGTATGTTGGGAGGGTAATAAAGCTGTTCACAATTTTCTTTAGAATATACACGTTGATAGATACCCCATTTTGCTTCTCAAACCTGGATATTTGCTTCATTGTCATTGGGAACTGGATTTAGAACCGATGAGGGTTGAGGGTAAGATGAAGTCCTACCAGGGTGATGATGACGATTATCGGTAACAGGATACAAGGCTGATACACCGCCCACGCAAAACATGTGTTGTCATCGTTTTTTACATTGACGCATGCCTGCTTCTTCTTAATTCGTTGCGGAAGATCGATGTATGATGACCCCAGCTGTGGTGTGAACTTGTTTATATTGATTCCCAAATTGGTTATGGAATTCAATTGCCAGCTGCTATCACGCTCCTGGAATTCATCGAGCTCCGTAGAAATCGGTGTCACTATGTGTTCTTGAAACCACGCCTCCAGATTAGTATCGCGATAAATTGGTCCTTAAGAATTCTATCGGCTTTTTGTAGTTGGAATTGTCCTCCAAACACCGCATTCACCTTGACGGCTTCTTCCTTTTTCAACGCGTTGGCTATGCGTCGCTTGAAGAGTACGAAGCTGTCCTTGAGGAACTCCTTGGGGTCCTTGTGTTTTAAATTAGATATTACACCGGTACGGATGCGACTATTGAAGGCCGTTTCAGAGTCATCCCACTTTACTCTGTTTGTTGCCGTCTCTTTTCTCGCCGATGTTCCAGCTCCATGTTTTACTGTATATTTAATTTGGGCACGAAAGCTTTTGATTTGAGCCAGAGTAGATAATAGACTTTGCTTTTCTCCAATGGTCTTTACAGTTTTCAACTGATTTTTTATATTTTGCACAGCTTTCGTGCACTGTCGAAGTCCATCTCTAGCGGTTTCTTCACTATATGATCGTTTTAGAACGCCGAGTAGGGTACATATTTGGTAACACAAATATTTCAGAATATCTGATGCAGCCATGATGCTATCACTTCAAAGACTGATGATAAACTGATGTCGTCAGGTGCCTCGTAGGTAACTAGTATTGGTAACTGATGCCTGAAAAGAGGTCACGTGATTAAGATGTGTTTGATTAAAAAATAGGGCATGATTCACTCAAAAAGTATATGAGAAAAATAAAAAATTTTGAAAGTGAGTAAAACGAAAAGATAGTGAGCGCTTTCTACCTACTGGGCAAGCATATCATCGATCGCGAACAAAAGAAAAAATATCGATGAGACTCACTATCTTAAAGACAAACTAATTCTTTTCTGAAAGTGAGCTCTATCACTGATCAATTCCATCCAATTTGATTTTCTTGCTTTTTCAAACCAGTCATCAGGGTCCATAAGCATATAAGTTTTATTATTATCCAAGTTAAACACAACCCGCTTTTGATCATTCATTGTATCAGAAGAAATCTTCAACAACCCTACTACTAATAATAGATCCATACATAAATAATACTTCTAGTCGACACGAACGGTTATCAACCTCTAGCGCGCAGACGTCAGCCGATGTGACGTAGCCGGCTGAAAGCTATGCCGATCCTGCTCCAGTCGACATCTTGAATTGTGGAGTAGAATCGGCACAGCTATTAAAAAATCATTGAGACCCACTATTTTACTGCAAGACGTTTAATTTTGATATGCGACACGTCTTATTTTAAAATTAAAACTCACCTTTAAAATATTTGAAGATGTTTCAACACTTTTCTAAAATGTATGCAATAACAGCGAAGACAACGCACTGGTACGATAAGCACGAAAGAAAAGACCAGATATCACAGCGTATTCGGCTTTTATACCCCGCTGATAACCTCGAAACTTTCTGTCTTAATCTAGAACCTGTGACGTATTATAACGGTTGATATTTAAAAGACCTCTTAAAGTTTATGATTTTTATCTGTTTAGTTTGAAACACAGCCATTCTTACGTCAAAATTTTAATGAAAATAGCAGTAAAAGTTATTTTATGAAAAATTAAATATAGAAAAAAATTTAGTCCTACGTAAAAACTGTACTTTAATAATAAATTTCAATTCTAAACAACTTTCTTTAATAACATATTATGTGTACTCTTAAAAATAAAGGCAGTTTATTCTTGAAAGATTTTTATATTTACCGATTTTCTGAGCACCCTGTACAAGTGCCAGTTCCAATGCCAACCGCATTTTTAATCCAAAAATTTGAGTGGTCATATATCAATCAATTTTCATCCAAAAACACTTTACAACCGCTTATTTTAAAGGAATTTTATCAGTTTTTCTATGAAGTCTATACCTATCTTTACACAAAAAATATTTAATCTTTTCAATAAAATAATTCAACAACAAAATATTCTCTCTATGGGTAAAAGTAATTACTTTACATTTATTATGGTTTAAAGACTTACTTTTTTTATCCAAATTCACGCATAAAAAGCACCACACACTATAAAATATATGGGCTAATATAAGAAATAAAACAAAAACACACACAGGCAAACTCGTTGATTATATGATAATAATAATTAATTCAGGAATTTAACAAAATTGGAAAAATAATTGAATCGCGACTATATTTGTCACGACAGCGTGGAAAAGTGTGGTTCATATCGGCACAGGCCGGACATACCAGTCGTTATTTCGCTGACAGAGTTGTTTCAGTTAACCAAGGTCTATGCCGAACTTTGCATTTCAACTAAAAGAATTTGTCCTTGGGTCTAATATGATCTTACGATATAACGTAATAATAACAACGGTTTCTATTGAACTCATTTCCTAAATAGCATAGAATTCTTCTAGTAATTAATTAGATAATGTTATACAGGGTGTTAATTAAGTATATACAATAAATTTAACAGACAGTGATTTTAAGACAATGCTTCGTTTTCGTGTTAAACTTTTGTAAAAAAATGATGTTTCGTAAATATCTTAACCCAATTTTTGAAACGCAACAATTGTTGAAGAACGAATGATACATATTTGCTAATTAATATAATGGAAACGTATGAAAGGATAGCAAATGAACCCTGGCTGTTGTTGTGCTTTGTGATGACCCATGTATAAACGTAACAATACCAACAATAACATTTGTTATCTTTCTCTTTCTCTCTCGTTCTAATATTAAACTAGTACCTATTGAATCTGAATTTTTAACAGCATTAAGAAGCAGTCTTAATAAATGGTGTACACAGAGATTTTCTTTGTCATTCCGTGCCTCTCCTCTAGGTACCTACATTCTTCAGACCACTTCAGAAGCAGCAGCAGTCTACAGGATGTTCTTAAAGAAGCGAGACACTTTTATAAAAAAAATTGATGTTTCGTAAATATCTTAACCCAATCTTTGAAACGCAACAAATATAATAGCCACTTTTTACTTTATAACTGATATTCCATCCGACGGCATATCTTCTCCATATTTATAGTGTACTTTTATAAAAAATATATAAATATATAACTAAGGTGAAGGGTTCAATTTACCATCCAGTAACAGCAGCAGTAGCAGTCTACAGGATGTTCTTAATGAAGCGTCATGACAACTCTTGAGATTTTAAAATGTCGTGGAATATGACCGATGGGATCGATAACGACGGCATGGGCCCTCGGTGGAGACTTCGGAAGTTCGAATCGAGCTCCACGTTGGGCGCCATGTCGTGATATGTGATCGTTGGTGCCCAATATTTGAAAATTGTGCGGGGAATTAGCAACATGGGCTCGCCGCGAAGACGTCGAAGCAGAACTTCGAGCTCCACGTCGAGCGCCATGTCGCGGAATGTGATCTGAATGTTGTGTTTGGTCGGCATGGGTCCTCAGTGGAGACATCAGGAGTTCTACTCGAGCTCCACGTTGGAAACCATGTCGCAACCTGTGATCTGGGATGTCAGTTCCCTTGACCGGGTTTCGTGGCAGAAACGCACGGAGTTCACGGGGATCGTCACTATCGACGCCCGGTCGCACTATATTCTCAGACGACTGAAATCTGTGGTGGATATGACCTACAGACGTGGTGTCTAGGACACGAGCTCGCGGGGGAGATCTCGACGAAGAATGTCGAGCCCCACGTTGAGCGCCGTGTCGGGTGAGACTATCTAAATATGGA